ATTTTAGGGGGATTCACACTCATATTACATAACTTGTTATGTTTTTACATAGTTTATATCATAGTATAATATTTATTTATATAATATTCAAATGTCTAACAATGCATTAAAATATATACTAGTTTAAAATTATTTTTTTCATGCATATGTTTCGTTGTGTTTATGATGCTAAAATGCTATATATGAGAATATGAAAAGATAATTGTTAGATATGTAAATACATAAAATTGTGAGGTATGTATGCAAATTCCCCTTTTTAAAATGCTGTGTTGTCCCGCCCTTCAAGTTTTAATGTGTTGAAAGAAGGGATAGAGTGAAAAATATTTAGTTAATTTTATGTAATTGGACTCTTGAATGAATTGGTAGTGCTAGTTGAGGGTGTAAATGAGCCGACACAAGCAATCTCGGCTCAGCTCTTTAAAAAATATCACTGTTCGTGTTCGACTCGTTTATATTTCAAACACAAAAATTTTCTTCATGTTCGACTCGTTTGCTTAGAGAGCTGAACAAAAGTTGTTAGTGAAAGAAGAGTTGTATTAACAACCCTGATCATGCATCAATAGGATGCAAAGTTAAGGAGTGAGATTTAAAATTTTTTTATATATTAAAATATCATTTAAATATAATTTAATTTGATTTGTTATTATTTTTAATTAGTGATTTTAATTGATTATAAATTATTGTAGTATTGTAGACAATTAAATTATTTAAAAATATCACTCATCAATTGTAATATATAATTTAATTATTTCGAGCCAAAACGAGTCGAACATGAATGAATAAATCTTAGTTTGCGTTTGACTCGTTTATATATCGAGCACAACAAAATTATTCATTTTTTGGCTTATTTGCTTAACTAATGAATTAAACATGAGCTTCTTAATGAATTGAATACAAACTGTTAGAAAAAAATGAGTTGTTTTGACAGTCTTAGTGCTAGTTGCTATTGCAGGTGCTGCAAAATATTATTATTATGGCTAGTTTTTGTTGCAAGCCATTTTGAAATTACAAAAATGTTTTTTTTTTTTTTGGTGCTTAGTTTTCTTTGCAAATCAAGGTTCATGTTGGAATATTTGGTATATTTGGATGAAATTGTAGGATAACAATTATTAGTTTCGGTGTATGTATGTTTATTTTGTAATATTGATGAAAGTATTATGTCCGTTGTTCGGATGTGTGGACGACAACGTGCATCACATCATGTAATATATCTGGCAGTTTGTGAGATTCACACCGTCGTCCGCACATCCAATTTACTAGATGTAATATTATCTCATAATTTGGACGACCCATAATGGCATCAACCCACATCTCACAATAAAAGCAAAATGCTTCAAACTTAATTTTTTTCCTAAAATCTTATTAAGAGGCATTCATTATACATGCCTAATTCTTACACATTTATATATCTAATTTCTAATTTTACTATTTATACTTGGAACATCCAAATATTTCATATAATATTAAAAATATTATTATTTGAACTTTAAAAAAATGAAAATCATTTCTAAATGGATAAGATGACATAGATATAAAAATCAAAATTTAGACATTAGATATATGTAAATATATAGAATTAGAGTGACATGTACGTAAAAGAAGTTGCAACTAGCCCTAAAACCTCGCAATTCTTTACTCATCCTGCACCAAATCTCTTTGATTTGATTACCTTTTTACCCTAATTACATTTCTGCTTTTACGCAACGTCGCTCGAAATCCGTCTGCCGACTGCTAATGTAATCGGGTTAGATTACTGTTATTTATTCAGAATGGAAGATCGAGATTTGTTTAATTGGAAATGGGAAGTTAAACCAGCTTTGCTTCATCAATGCGCGCTTATTTAATCCTTGTTGTTTGCAGTGCCGCAAATTTAGTTAGGGTTCTAACAGTAATGGAGAGCTTTAGTTTCGGTCTTCGGCAATTAGTTAAATTGTTAAGATTTGACGCAAATCCTGTTTCAGATGCAGTTATGCACAGACGCAACGAAGAAGTGATCTTTACCGGTAAGCAAATATTTCCAAGTGATTATTTTTCTATAATTCACGATTACTTCTTGTCCCTTTGTTTATTGTAGATCACCTGGTTGTTAAATTGCCGCTGAAGACCCAATTTCCCAACGCAGACTTTAATAGATTTAATGAACACATGCCCAGATTTCTTATTGAGTTTGCTACTTTAAGCAACTCTGGTCTTCGCTTCTAAGAAATCTTTTTTTTGTTTCCAATTCAAGGAAATCAGCAGCCAACAAATAGTTTTTTTTTTTTCTTTTTTTCTATTGGAAACTATGAGATGGTTTGATTAGGTAACCATATCTATGAGTTTCCTTAGCAAGATAAGGTAATCATTTGTTATATATTGTATTTGTTGGCAATATTGCTTGTTTAGCATAGTTTGATGTTGTTGGTTTTGGTATTGCACTTGCAGAAAGGCTATGGGGAAGTGTCACTTGAGCCGGCCAGCCACTCTTCCAACGGCGCCGATGGGAGTGCGCTTATATGTTCTTGATCGATATGTATGTGAATTTGCTTGATTTTCTTTTAGTTATCTTATGAGTAATTTAATGATTTTCGTGAACAGAATTAGTATTTGTTTATGTGCTGAGAGAATGAGCAGGTGGTGATAGATAACGGTATCATGAAGCTCACTTTGTCGAAGCCTGAAGGGATTGTAACTGGAGTTCAGTACAATGGGGTTGATAATCTGTTGGAGATACTTAACAAGGAAGATAATAGAGGGTATGTTCAATTTTGGTTCTTTAGACTTGTGTGAAAAAAAGAGAAGTCCTTTTT